GCTGCGAGATCACCGGAGAAAACTCTGGAAAGTCCAAAAATCTTACATCATCATCATCATCATCAGAAGTCTTCAATCAGTTCACTCTGTCTCATTTATTCAACTCAACCATTTTATAGTGGTTTGCTACTATACTATGACCAGTTTAGATGAAAGGCCACCTTCATTTTATTGTTTGTTTTTTTGTCTCTGTTGGCTGAAGGCAAATCCATTGTTTTAATATAAAAATGTTATATAGTGGGCTTTTTTTTTTCTGAAGTGTGTTGTAAATAAAAGAATAAATTAAACTAGTTTGAGTTAGAATTACACTCAGTGTTTTTTCCAGAAAAGTTTAATACCGTTTTAGATTTTATTACATAGTATTTCCAAGTTAAAAATGTGAAGTCAGAACAAAAATGTGCATTGCATGTAACCAAAACCTGACTCATTTTAAAGCTTGAATTGTCTTATTTTGAATGCTGAATCTTGTTGCGAATAAACATCTACAAATTCTTGTTTATTAGTTCAAATTAGATCTATTTTAAAGTGACCATGGGAATTATCCTAAATTCAAGCCATATAGTCTAACTGGTAACACTTTATTTGAAGGGGGTGAATAAGACTGACATGACACTGTCATAAACATGACATAACTCCTGTCATGAACATGAAAAAGCCTTCATGAATATTTATGACTGTTGTCATAAAATGTCATTCGGTAAATTATGACACTTTTAATACAAAGTTGACATTATTCAAAATGTCTTTGTTATGACAACTTGACATTAACCAGGAAATCATTACTGTTTAAACTTTACCTTTAATAACATAAAGTTACCTAATTTTTAAAGTGCAATCATTAATACTTTTATAACAAATTTATATCAATAATGATTTCTTGGTTAATGTCAAGTTGTCATAACAAAGACATTTTGAATAATGTCAACTTTGTATTAAACTGTCATAATTTACCGAATGACGCTTTATGACAACAGTCATAGATATTCATGAAGGCTTATTCATGTTCATGACAGGAGTTATGTCATGTTTATGACAGTGTCATGTCAGTCTTATTCACCCCCCTTCAAATAAAGTGTTACCGTTTAACTTATCACACAATCCATGTATTATTAAATCTTTTTTTCTTTGTTTTATCCCTTCTAGGATTACTACTTGCTGTACTTTAATATCAGCACATCCACATTCTCCATGTTGGCAGTGTACCACAGCTACACTGGTGTGGCTCACCAGGTGTTGTCTTCATCCAGTGAGACGATAAAATTTTACTTGGATCTTGCTGTGTTGGAACACAGATAAATATGTGAGCTTTGAACTATGCCCCAAATAAAAACAAGTCACCGTGTGTAACACCAGGCTAAATATCGCAGTGAGGTTTATTATGCCTAAAAATAGCTAAAGAAAACATTTTTTTATGATTTTCCTGACAATTAAGCATCGCCGGGCTTCTCATGTTTCAATGTTCAAAACAAATGAAAACCCCCAACGTCAAACTCTCCATCTTTTCAGTTTTATTTGTGCAAAGCATAGATTTACAGTCATTTCAGTGCTGCTGCAGTTTAACAAAAACGTTTCCGATTACAGAGCGAGTTGCTGTGAGTACATACGCATTCAGCTATAGCTGCATAGATAACAAAGGTGAGTAAAAGCACAGAATATTTGTGGTCATCATCAAAGGACAGAACAACACCGTAATGTGCAGAGCAGCGAAAGAGGTATTTGCCCTCTTGCAGATTTCTTTTGATTTGTTTTCAGATGAAGAAGAACTGACTTTATTACCAGACAATGACAGCCTGAATATAAAAAAAAGACAACCTGTTGTTAGGTTTAACATATTTTAGACGTGTCTCTCTTCCAGAACGCCTTACTTAAATGTTTGCATGACCTTCACTCCTGCTATCTAGTGTTGCTGCAGCCTGTTAATCACCCACTTATTTAAGTCAGGTGTGTGGAAGAAGGGAAACACCTAAAACATGCTGGGCAGTGGCCCCTGAGGACCCAAATAGAGAAACACTGGGTTAAGGGGACAATTCCTTCTTCGGTTGACTCCGATACTTTTTCACAAATAACTGAAATCAACTACTTTTTTTTATTTTTCCATGTTATGAGAAAAAAAGTTTGCTTTTTGTTATGAAAACCAGCAAAAATAGAAGAAATCTGTAAGGGGACAATACTTTTCCACAGCACTGTGCACCAGCAATGATGACAGGATAAAATGTTTTTCATTATTTGTCTTTGAATATTTTTTTCTACTTGTCATTTGTTAGAGAATATTACATTAAATATATACAGAGTGGGTGTGTTTGTTCAGCGACCAGAGTCTAGTTACAGTTTGACTGAGAGAACCATTAAAAGCCAGCCTTTGGGTCTCAAGGTTCAACGTGTGTGTGATCCCACTTTTAAAAATAAAAACATGAATGGAATGTAGCGTTTTACTCATCAAGATGTTTTTTGTTTCTTTTAAATAAACAATGACATTACAAGAGGAACAAAGGAATAAAAGGCAACGTCCAAAACAAAATAATAATTCGGGTTAGCTTAAAGGAAATCCCACAAGTGATACAGACAGTAAAGATGTACCAGTAACTTAAAAAAAAAAAAAAAAAAGAAAGAAAAAGAAAATTAAATATCTGTCCAGTACAACCCCTTGCACATTCTGACGGTGGACATCAAGTATGATCTATCAAAATAAAAATAAATCTACATATTAAAAACATTAAAAAGTAAATATAAATACACAAGCAAAAGTACAACTAACATTTAAATAACTCCAAAGTCACAGTTCAGAAACCCTGCTTTTTTTTTTTTTTTTCCTTTCTTCTTCTTCTTCTTTCATAACGTTTTCAAAAGTGCCACAATCGATGTTCAAATCTAGTTGTTAGCTTCAGGTGTAGTGATCAGTTGTTGTTATGCTTCACAGTGCTTAAAGGTTTTGAATACAATCACTGCAGCTTTTATATAGCTCGCCTTTTTCATGATGCCCACCAAAGTATTCACATATGATCAGATGAAGGAGACGGATAAGGCAAAATGTACACAGCTTAGATTAGCTAAGTTTCTCTGACAATGGGCCAGAAATTAGAAACCAAGCAGAAAATGACAGACTAAGTAAATATTTAAATCTTGCATACACCAAGTTTGATGTATTTATTTTCACAGCATGCCTGGTGGATTAATGGCATTGGACTTTAAACTAGCATTAGCAACTGTTAGCATGTGCCAAATAAGGAACTGTTCACAAAGTGGGTAAAAGTGTTAAAATGTAAAAAATGGAGTCTGCTAACTTTCCATAGGGAATATTCTGAGTTAGTATAGAGGTATAACAGAATAAAAACAGTGCTGCAGTGTGTCTCAACATTCAAGATAGGCTAATTATCTTTGTCATGATTAGCTTTTCCTTATCCTTTATTAAAAAGTCCAATTTAAAAAGCAGTCATCTTTAAGTCGAAGAAAATTTTAGCTTTTATTCATTTAAAGGCTTTAAATAGGGAATTGCTGTGAGGGTTTTCCTGATTTTATAAAGCACAATATGTGGATTTTTGGATATATTTATTCAGTTTATGAAAAACTAAAAAGTAGCTGTTCAGCCCTTTTCCTGATTAATCTGAAGTAGGCCGAGTTTAGGAAACAGTCCAGTTTAAATTCTGTACTCAATCCAGGACAAAAAAAAATTGCAGAAATTTCCATTTTTGATTTTTTTTTAAAATACGCCTGCAGATATTGATGACTTAAAAAGCGAAATACTTATGGTTATAATATTAATTTCACAATATGATATGACAAATCAAAAATAAAAAAATGTCATTTCAACATGAAGTAATATAGAAATCCCGTTCATTATTATTTGAAAAAAAACAAAAAAAACAAACTAAATCACATTTTTTATCCATTAAAAAACAAAATACGGAAATTAAGAATGGAAACAAACTTCAACAATGTAGGAACCACGTTAAAGGGAAGCCCAGTGTGCCGATTAAACAGAGGGTATGAAAAACTACTAAACACAAGAAACTAAATACTGCATTTAACTATAATTGGTGTTTGGAGTCTATTGATTTAGTGCAGTGATTATATTTCTCCGGTTTCGACATCCGGATCCATGTATATTACTCAACAGCGTAATAGTTGAGAGACCGTTTGCCCTTTTCTGTGTTCATTTCTGCCACTAAATGCAGTACGATTTTTACCACGACTGAAAGCACAGGTTATAATACGAGATTGAATTTTTAACATGACCTAGGTCTCTAAATTGTAGAACTCTGTCAGCTACCTCTTTTTCACAGTAATTATTTACAACTTTTACTTTAGTGGGTTTGTGCAAAACAGATTCGCTTTGATGCCTCGACTGCCAGTGTCATTACTCTGGATGAAGAGCAGAATGAAGAGGCAGCGTGGTACCAGGCACTTGTGTCAACACACGAGTGACCAATCACCAAGAATCCATTATTAGAAAGAAAGAAGCAGCGCTCTATGTAAAGCTGTCTCTACAATTGTCAATGTGGTGTTTAGCAGCAATGTTCATAATAAACATGCTAAGGTATTTGGCTCAGTAAATTGTACAGAGATGTGTATCTATTGGTCACTTAAATAAAATAAAACACTTTTAAACACTCCATACTTCTGCTTTAACAAAATATAAAGCCCAGCTGTCAGTACGATTAGTAAGGATGTCACAAAGACTCGGGCATAAGCAAAACTGACACACCTGACGATTTTGCGCATTCGAATATCATCTGGAGGAAGGAATTCACATCTTTAAAAAGTTCTGGTCTGACAATGACAAACACACCCAAATTAAAAAAAAAAAAAAAAAAAAAAGGAAATCACAGCAAAAGTGTACAGAAAAATCTAGAAATCAAGTCATAATTTCACCAACCCCTTCAGCCCATCATCAGTTAAACAGGCTACTGGCACATTGAACTCTATATAATATATTATAATACACATAGTTAGCAACTGGCTGCCTCAGTGAGCAAAACTATGCAGAGTAGTCTGCGTTTTGGTTCCTTCCCATAGAGCATCTCCTTCAGAGAATGATCTATACATACACATTGATGCAATGTTAACGTTTCCGCTCTAGCAGTAACCCCAAGTCTGCCGTTCACCTACTCAAATCCATCATGCTAGCGGTACGGTCCAGCAGAAGCAGAGAGGACATCTGAGCGGCAATGAAGGTTAGTAGAAGTCAGTGCCTTTCCTTTTTCGGTTGGCCTTTGTGTAGCTACATTGTAAACTTTGAGCTGCGACTGATTTGGAGGTGTAAACTCAAGAGCCTAGCCACTGGATTAAGTTTTGGCGTTGGTCGACAAAACACCAACACGAGGCAGCAAAATCCCCTTTAAAGATGGGGAGAGTAGGTAAAGCGTGGATCTTTAAATCTTTTTTTTCAGCTTTTTGTGTCCTCTTGCTGACATTTTGGCTCAATGTGTTGTCTAATCACCCAGTCGCCTGCTGCATTAGGCGGCCCAGATCATCTTCTGCTGGAAGTAGGCGTCAAACCTGGCCTGGGCGTACTCCTGCAATTACAATCAAGCATTCATGAACACATGGCGATGAGCTTTGCAGTGGTTTGAGTTTTTAACTTTTGAATAGTTTGCTTATTTATTTGCTTGTCCTGTGGGAATACAACACCAGTCCATCCCGAATGAATCAAACGATTTTAAAAATCCTGAGATTCCGACAGAAAGAGTCCGTGACCTTTTTTCTGAAGCATTCCAAACTACTGTGCTGTTCAAAATGTTCAAATTTTAGCAACATCAAGTGCAGTGGGATGCAACATTTTAGTTACTTTGATATGGTGTTTAAAAATAAAAAAAAGTAGCATAGTTGATAACTACTCCTTTTTTATTTTTTTTTGACATCAATATGTTTGGATTCAAGGGTTTTAAATATCTGTACACATCCTGTCCGGCTATCATGATAACCTGCTCTGATGGACTCTGTCCTCGTCTCAACTCAAGGTGTTGACACAGTGCTTGCTGCCATTTGCACATAACAAACACGCCGACGACAATGAAAAACAACAACATGTAGAGAAGCCAACTTTTATCCCTGTACATTAACAGAAAAGGCTCACCAGGTATCCAAACTCAATGGTGGAGAGTCTCGCTTGGATGATGGACCACAAGCCCCAAAAGAAGTGAGATGCAAGTGAGAACCTACCCACAGAAACAAACACAGAGCAAGTTTTTGCACTTCTTAGAAAAAAACAAACAAAAAAAAAACACACTTTGAAAGTATTACCTTCATGCCAGTCAGGTTAGACACTAAACTCACCTGTTGACCTCCACATACAGCTCCTCTTTCAGCTTCATCTGGTGCTCTTCGCTCAGGTTGTCAAAGCCCTGGTCGGACTCGCGCAGGTAGCTCTCGATGAAGTGAAGCTGCCCACAAAACACATTCACATCGGTTAATCATCCGTCGAGAACGAAATGCACGAGGCAGAAGCGAGCCGACGCGGACCTGCTGGGCCTTTGAAGGGTAGTTCTGGGTATCAACTTTGAAGAAGGGAAACTCTTCGCAGGTGTAGTCATACATCCACTCGCAGAAATGGTTGCCGATGTCAAAGCCTCTGCAATGCAAACAGACAGAGGGGTGGTTTAAGGGTTAATGCGTCTTGATAAAGAATGGATCCTCTTTGTTCCGTTTGCTTCTGTCTGAATTTTCAATTCAGTTTGGTTTATTCATAAAGCGCACAGTTCACAATAAATATATTATAGGACATTTTGAGTCCGTTTGAATTATTTGCAGTTGTTATTGTTGTTAAAGCTGTTAATATCTCACTTTACTTCCTACTTGATAAAAACTCAGTGAACAACACACATAATGTCTTTTTAATAATGTCGACACTATTTTATGTCTGTCTAACATCTACAGAAAGGTCTGCATTAGGATTGAGAACACATGTTTTATTTATTCAAAAGGTCGTCCTGTATTGGATTTATTTAAAAAGATTGCATTAGAATAGCAATAATATATTTTTTTCCACTTTCTGTTCTTTCTGCAGGAGCCTCTGAAACAGGCCAAGTAAACAAAAGGTTAAGTGTGTTGAAAGCACAAGTTCCTTGGTTTACTTAAAACATGTTTACTCTAGTGCTTCCTTTTGTTTTCTCATTGTGTTTGATGAATCAGTCCCAAGTAGATTAAACTAACTCTGCTCCCATTCTCTAAAGCTTCGATAGCAGTTTGTGTTTACTGCTTTAAGAATCTTAAATGATCAGAAAATGTTCATTCTGAACAGTTTTAATATCTCCAGATGTCTAGAACATTCTAAAAATAAATAGAGAGGCATTTCTTTCTGACTTGCCACAATAAGTTTTGGGAAGAAACAGTGGCCTCTTGAGCTGCAGCAGATATACTTTCCCACACATTTTATCAGGACTGTATCAGAATTGTTTTCGTCTCAAAGTCTCCCTTTGCTCTGTTGGGAGGTGCCAAATGGGGCTGGTCTCCCCTTCTGCTGTCTTTTCGAGCCAATGCCTATCAGCCAAGACCTAAAAAAAAAACCCAAACACCCCCAGTAAGGGTCAGAGTGAGCGCAATGGTGGGCCAGCACCAAGAGGTCACGTGTCTGCTGTGCAACATTCGCAGGGGATAGGCTGAAGTTTGGTGGGAGGTGGTGGGAGTTCCCTGTGATCTACTCCATTTCCCATAAATGAGCCGCTGAGGAATTCACACACATACACAAACACACTCACCCACCCACGCACACACCCACACACACAAGTAGGTTTCCTATCGTCACAAGGATTTTGCATTGAATTCCATTCATTTTTCATTAACTCCTGTAGCGTGACCCTGAACCTTAGCCTAGACCCAACCAGTACCGGTACATGCCAAGCCCTAAACCTATTCTAAACTCAATTCACACTTTAGTCCTAAAGCTAAAGCCTAGCCCAAAAACAGTACTTTTTTTTTTCTTTTTTAGAAAAATGGACCTATAAGGTGACAAATGCACCCACACTTTAAAAAAAAAAGTGCTCCTTTAGATTAACAGCAGTGGAAATTCACTGCACCATCATGTCTCAAAGTCAAACTCATAGGTCTTTCTGTTCTCTCCAATCTGAAGTAATCTGCAGTAATCTGCAGAACTGCGATTACGTAACAGCTGCAGTGAATACTTTAACAGACCGAGTTACAAGGGCCAGAGTCAACAAATATTGATGAAACTACACGGCCTGATTTCTCTCTCCTCCTGCTGTCTCTGACTTTGGTTTTGTCCCTCACTAGAGCAGACTGCAAGCAGAGCTCATCTCATTTCCATTGGACAGAAGGTCAAATGGGAGGAGAGTTACTGGAAGGAGGATGGGTAATTGGAGATTTGCAGTTTGTAGAAAAAAAAAAAGATTTTGTACCTTCGTTTCGAATCATTCTTATTAAAGGGCAGCATTATGTATTTTCCAGGCACGGTGACATTTCACAGAACAATCGAGTGACTATTTTACCTTCAGGTGTAATAAGTATGTTACATAAGTCAAAAAGGATGAATGGATGGCGTAATATTTTAACTTCCATGACAGTCTCCTTAGTAAGCGACTTTTCTATATTTATACTGCTTTTTATTTTTTCTCCAAACAGAAACAAAGTTATTGACTTTATGAATTTCTTTCACGTTTTCCTTTGACTTAATTTCCCACACTTTAAGGGTGTAACATATCTATTCCAGAAACATAAGAGAAGCCTAAGTAAGATAAACAATACAGTCACCACTAAAGCACTCCACACCAAAGTAATGGAAGACAAATCAGATGTGGTATTTTATAGGAGTTTTAAAGACATTTTCACTATTTATAATGAGATGTGCTTCAGTAAAGGAGAGTGAGAGGTGGAATCATGGAAAGCCAGAACGGCCAAGATTCATAATGCCGTTCAGAAATTAACATTATAATCACAGCATGCATTTAATCAGTTCTGTATTGTGTTTTTTTTATATTTGTTTTGCATAATGTTGCTCCTTTAGTACCTGTAGTTGTAGCTGCTGTATTCAAAGTCAATCAGCATCAGTTTCTGTTTGTCTGAGCTGTGGCGGCCCTTCAGCAGCAGGATGTTTCCTACAAGCAACCCGAGAAGCAAAATTTAGTTCCTCTGAAAAGGACCAAAACAAACAGATACAGAGTAAAGACAAACAGTGTGTGTGTGTGTGTGTGTGTGTGTGTGTGTGTGTGTGTGTGTGTGTGTGTGTGTTTTACCTTCTTGGCAGTCATTGTGGCAGAACACCACAGGGGAGTGTGTGGACTCCAGCAGCAACCTGGTCACACGTAAAAAAAGAAGAGCCACTTCAATGCTAGGATGGCGAAGTGTTTATCCAGGGAAATTAACATAGATTACCACTGTATGCTTAAGGTTCCCAATCTGTTTATCCAGATGTTATTTAATCATCTGTTACTGAAAGCTTCAGGTCACTTTTCACTGCTCATATGGCTGAAAAAAAGCTTTACAGCCTTTTCACCTCGGTTTTAGATTTTAGAGTCATGTTTTCGCATGTTTGTTGAACAAAGAGTATTTGAATTATAGTCTCGTGTGCTTCTTAAATGTTTTGTTGCCCTTTTGCAACATTACATCAGGACGCATCATCAGTTAGCTCCGTTTTAAAGGTGTGCATCCACAGGTTCCATGAATTTGTGATCTTGATAGCTTACTTTAGCGTTTCCATCTCTTGCGGCAGGTTGTAGGCGAGCATGCTGTTGAAGCGGCGCAGATGGGACTCTCTGGTGAAGTTCAGCCTCATGACTTGGCTCAGGTACCTGGTGGAAAAAAAATGGCATGAGCAGTTATCAAAAACTTTATTTTGACTTGAAATACTTAGGCGAGACACTTATTTTATATTGTTGAAGTGAGACGGGGCCGATTCTGAAATTGTTGCTGGGATTTTGTGTTTTTGATCTAGTCTTTAAAATTAAGTCATGACGTCAAAAACACAAATGTTTTATCAGACATTTTACTTAGCACTTGTCTACAAATGTGCAAGTTTATGTAATCAAATCTATTTTACTCTTTATTTATTAGAATTGTGATACTTAAACGTTTGCATTAGTGCTTCCTGTGGGCAAAAATCCTTATTTCTGCAATAGCTTGCTCTGCGTAACAGGCATAATTTTTCATTGGATGGGGACAGGTTTTTTTTTTAAGAATAGTTTAACAGTTTCTCTCATGGCAGTTTTCCGATATGCATCTGGAAAACCCGTATTTCTCTGTTGATGTGAAAGTTTTCACGTGAAAGGTCAAACTGCAGCATGACAGAATAAGAGAGATAAAAGCAGATTATAGGTGCCTACAGGACTCCTCAAAGGAATGAAGCAACAGCCCTCATTTCCTCCAGCAGACTTAAAGCTGATGTAACACAGCAGACATTGTGAAAGCACTTCAGAGGGGAAAGCTTCTCGATAAGCTGATATCTGATATATCAATAACTTATCAGCAGTGCCACATGTTATCATGGAAAAACCCTAGGTTACTGAATAACCAAACTCTTCAAAGGCTGATTAATTGAATGGCGACAAAGAGGCCTGAGTGACTCACTTCTCCATGGTCCCAAACAGCCACTTTGGCTCCTTGTTGAAGGGCATCCTCATCCCGTGGAACCTGGCCATCTTCTGGGCCACCTCAGCGGAGATGCTGGGGTCGCTTAGCTCACAGGTGTCCAGTTTACGGCTCTGTAACGTCAGAATATTTTTCTATTACAACTAAACTCACAACTATAATAGGATTTCCCCCAGTTTATTGTAAGCGTTTACATCTCACACACTGTGGCACTCAATGCGCGCCTTGACACACGCTTGGCTCTGTGTCTGCACTTGCAAACTGATAAAGTTAATCCAAACAAGCTGCTAGTCAACCATGAACACGTCTTTTTCATCTAGTATTCCTCGCAAATAAAAAAAAAGGTTAAAAACAAATCACAATACCACACCAATACTTTTAAATGTGACCAGGGCTGGCCCTCGGTTCTATAGGGTCTTGAGCAGAACATACTTTAGGGGCCCCGTGTTCCTGTTAAAAACATCGGCACCGCAAAATAGACTTGGTGGAATCTGAAAGAGCGGGACAAGCTTAAGCTTTAAAAGCAATCACTGATAATTGGTTATTTGCTGGGGAGGTATTTGTGAACAAACCAAGCTCAAACACAAAGATTTAGCTCATAGCATCATGATTTGTTGACATGGTAACACAATAATCAAACTATTAAGAATATTATTTGCACTTTTACAAAGAAAACTTGCCAACTCCTTTAAATCCGAAATTTAAATGTTAAACAATTTAAACTATTGTATTTATTTAAGCTGAAACCATTCATTAATAATACCATCATTCTCCATAAAAATGTTAAAATTCTTTATGGGGCCTTTGAAGGTCTAAGTAGCTCTGAATGTGACCAGCATTACTTACTGCTTTAAGATCCACTTGCTAATTACTTAATTGGGAGTTAAGTGAAGTGCAGAAATTGCTGATATGGTAAATGGACTGAACTTATATAGCACTTTATCCAATCATTTTTGACCACTCAAAGTGCTTTACACTAGAGTCACATTCACCCATTCGCACTCACAAACTTATACACAGCTTGGTAGGCAATTTGGTGTTAAGTGCCTTGCCCAAGGGCACATCGACATGTGGCAGGAGGAAGCTGGAATCAAACCAACAACCTTCCGATCGCAAGACGACTACTCTACCCACAGAGCCACAGTCGCCATGCATATTCATTCGACTTATTTTTTGTTTGCCTCTTTTTTAATACTATGCTAGGTGTTTAAGAGTCACCAATAATGTCTTCAAATAACATAAGATGTCATATTTTGACTATCCTGTCAAATATTTAATTTTTTTTTAAATAAAAACACGGTGAGCTGCTGATGGACTTGCCTGACGCCAATACCACCAGGCTTAGTAAGTTTTCTGGCATCCTAAATATTTTAAGACATCCAAAATATTTCCCAGAAACAAAACATGGGGGAAAAATAAATTAAGAGATCCATAAACTATCAATTCTTTGAGTCGATCGACCTCGTTTCTGTCAAGAAAACACTTTTCCGTTGCAATGTCGGCTCTTTCCATTACGGATCAATGTTTCCCACACTGAGTCAGCAACACTCAGCCTTGTTTTAAGCCATACCTCAAACTTGGTGAAGAGCAAATACCAGTTTTATTTTACTTACTTATAACATCTGCTCAATATTGTGCTTTTACTGGGAAACACACAGTTATGCACCAATGTCCTCTGTGAGCTTTACTGAAACTCATCCAAAGAGGTCCTAATATAAAGCCACGAATTCCAAAAACTAAACAATGACATGCATGTTAAATAAGCACTTTGTATTGTCTTGTTGCTGAAAATGTGCTATATAAATAGAATTACCTTTACCTGCTGGAGATTTCGTTAACTCATTTTTGTGCTCAGTTATGAAAAAGAATCTTAGGTCCATGCTTCTCCAGTGAGTTACTTATAAGATTACTTTCATATATAATATATTAAAGTTTTCACAGAAGCTAAAAAGTAAAACTGTCCTCTCATTTGACCTAAGCAACTTGTTGTACCCGTGTCTTCTTCATACTGTGTTGAAAACTGGAAATAGGACATCTTTCTTTGAACAATGGCAATTTCTTCTTTTGCCAAAAAGCTACAATTGATGCTCTCCCTGCATCCTCTGTTAGTTACTTGGTAAGTTGACAGTTCCTCCATACCTGCTCCAATTTTGGACGAAGAACTGAACAACTTTACCGCTGCTGCGTTTGCTGTGTTCCTCGGGCTTCATGATGCCGTTTTAGTGTTCTAGTGAAGTTTATATATTAGTTTGGTGACTTTAAAGAGGAATTAGATGAATACAATCATGTAAACATATATAACAAAAAACTAAAATTATGTTTCATTTTCCACTTTGCAATTTTCCCCTACTTTGTGTTGGTCTCTTTTACCATGAAATACTAACATAATAAATGAACTATTTGAAATTGTATCACTTGTCAAAATAAATTTAAGGGGTATCAGTACTTGGGCAACATGTTGAATTTGAACTTCTAATCTGGACATGTTTGAACATTTTTTCTCTGTCGGCATTAAATGCAGCCAAAAAGATAAGTTAAATCCTCTTCCTCCACCTGCCGCTTGCAACTTTACAGCTAATGCTAGAAAGAGGTAAATCATGGTTATGGCTTCTTGGTGATAGGAGACCTGCTGATGGACAAATGTACATCATTTTAAAGCCAGCCTTACAGCTCAGCAATTTCTCAGTATTTGGTTTTACATTGACAAAAGGAGAGCATTCAGCTGAAATATAGCTGAGAGATTAATACCCCAAAATCTGGCTAATGCGTTGGAAGTTATTTTTTACGTTATTTTCTTAGACAATCACAGGGACTGTACTTGCACACAAAAGCATGTTGACTTACGGGGACATACTGCTCCAGGCGGCCCTGAGGGAAAATGCCGTAGAGTTTCGGACCCAGCTCCCTCTCAGCCAGGATGGCGAACATCACGCTCTCCAGAACCATGGCCTCTGCTCCCTGCAACAGACAACGTAAAACTCTTCACGTCTGGGAAAGGCTCACACCATCGATTATGTTCTTTTTTTTTTTTAGTTCTATAACATAAGAGCAGCTCATTGCAATGTCACCAGGTGACTATGAAACCCGTTCAAGTACTGGCATAGAACCAGTCAATGGCAAAGTGGTGAATTTTTCACAGTGTGCCATAATTTTCTTCAGCTGAATAAAAACACAAGTAATTCTTTTGGATCTAAACAAGAACAAACAAGAGTCAGCACACAGAAACTCGTGATCAGGCTCAACATCTGGATGGACCCAGTCCTGAACCTTCTGAGACATATAAAGATAATTACAAAGTCAGCCTTCTATCAAATACGTTTCCAGGATTAAAGAACAAATGTCCCAGTAATATCATGACAAACGCATTCTTATATTTATCTTTAGTTGCATTTGATTTATGCAACAGTGTCTTCAGATATCTATTAAGAAGTCAGACATCTGCAGCTGATCCAGAATGCTGCTGCTGCTCGTGTTCTCACTAAAACTAAGAAAATAAAGCACATCACCCCAGTTCTAGACTTAAAAAATATAATGCTTTTGTTAGTTTATAAATCACCAAATGGTTTTGCACCAAACGCAAAAAAGATCTATTTCTGTTGCATTGACCTTTCAGACCACTTAGGTGCTCTGGTTCTAGTTTACTAAGCCTAGAACCACACATGGAAAAGAAACATTCATTTGATAATCATTTGAAAACTACAAAAATGCTGAAACCTACAGTTCCTCCAAATCGAGGAAAAAAGTATTTTTAGTGTTGTCTTTCACTAATAACTAAAACATCTTAATTTTAGTTTGTTTTCCAACTTTTCATTACATTGCAATGTAATGATTTTGTGTTTGACGTTTCATGTTTCCGTCATGTGAAACACTTCGACCTTCCTAATTTCTGAAATTTGCTGTACAAATACATTTGCCCTGCCTGCATCAAGTAAAACTGAGAAAAGCAAATTGTGAATAGTTTAAAATTTTTAAGTACCACAAAAGTTGCTTTAAAAGGCCAGGATTTGATGAGTGACATGTGAAATGCCAAAGCATTCCCAGGGTGAAAGGCATGCCTGAAAAAGGTTTTAAAGCAAGTTTTGGAGTGGATAACATGGATGGGCGACTCTAAAGCAGAAAAAAAATGTGTTTGGGTTTGCCTGCCAGGGTGCAGAGGGGAAGACAAGAGGTAGATTAAACTCTCTCAGGACTTGGCAGTCTCGGAGGAGTAGTCGCTGTTGAAGCTGCCCAAGCAGGAAGGACTGCTTAGTCTTTCTCACTCTGTCTTGCAGATACACAAAAGTCTCATGCTGGGACTTCCTATCAAGAGTCCAGCAGGAGCTCAAGTTTAATAGAAAAAATGTCTCACATTCTCGCGTGAGTCATGATACTTTGTGGTACAGTGCCTTGACAAAGTATTCCATCAACTTTTACATTTGTCAGACTGCTTGCAAGAGTTAACTCTTGACCTATTCTAGGTAGGTTACTAAAACAAAAGGATTTAAATTTGGCAAAAATAAAAGTTGAACAAGTTTATGACTAAGCTTGGAAGAGATTTGTCCTGTTGAACAATACCACTGACATTTAACACTGTATTTATGGGTAGTCTATCAGCACATACTGTACTGTGCAAAGTAGATGCTTTTGTTCACCCCAGGGCCTTACTCTGTTTTAAGAAAGGCATTGGGTATTGGAGTGAACACAACATGTTTGCCCCTATAATTCAGAACTATTAATAACTTGTATATAAAAAAAAGGCTAATAAACTGAATGAAGACATACAGCAAAGATCTGAGGGTCAGGAATTGAACCCCACATAGCCGTTTCTCCATGTCACGAACATTTTAGAACACAACCATTTTTTATTTGCATCCTCTGATATTTAGTGGTCTGTCATAAACACACAATTTGATCCTATTTATTTGGCTGAATCTGTAGAAAATAACAAAGACAATCCTATTTAACAGTATGGACAGGATTTCAGCATGTTAATTTACATAGATTTTAATCCATTAAGCATTTTAATGCAATTAATCACTGTTTTTTTTTCATGTAAAAGTCCACAGCCGGCCCGGAACCTTGTCTTGTGTTTCTGGTACGGCCTTAACTGTGACACACAAGCGATGTGCACAACAATAAAAATGAACAACAAAGTCACTTCTCTTGGTCCACTTTAGGATAAATTTTGCTTCAAAAAACAATCTGACAGGACAATGAGAAACAAACAATAAAAAAATGAGTATTTTCTGAAGATCAAACAATTAAAAAAGGGCTGGAGATATAACAAAATGGAAGTGTGTGTTTGTGTGCTTGTGTATGGGAATGGTGGTGGGAGAGGTGAAATATCTAATTATTCCCATATCTTTATTTATTAACATGATCTATGAAAGGTTGCCATGTGACACAGGAGGTGTCGACTTTGCCCTGCATCTCAATAATATTATATTTCCTAATTGGACATGTTTCATTATATCATGTAGCAGGTTAAAATAAAATGGTGGGTTCTTTTGTTTCCAATTTCTTAATTTCACCGTGGATCCTTTAGAATTACAAAATTCACCTCATTTTCCCGGGGACGCCCATTGAAGGATGAGAACATCCTTTTTACAAAATGGCGGACTAGTAGAAACTTGGAAAAAAATCTCACAGTTGGTCAGAAGGAACAAAGGTCCTTTGGATAAATCCGTCTTGAACACAGTGAATCCCTTAAAGTTTCCATTGATTATATGAGACTCCTTAAAGTGAGAGGATTTTGATTATATGCCCATAATGAGGCCTGGGTGTGTATACATAATAATCTTACTGGTAAAATAAAATTAGAGCCAAATCCAAACCTTGCCAGGGCTGAGAAGAGATAATCCCACTCGACTCTGTCAGACCTTCTCCATATCTCTGTATGTAACTTTGTTCCTTGTCAATCAATGTTTAATAACCTCCTTATATCAAATATATATCTATCTTGTATAAACCTGTTGGATCTTTGTAGAAATTTGTAGAATTTTTTTTGACTATTTTAATATTAGCTTTCTAAATTTAGTTTCACAGATGCAAAGGAATTAAACTCTTAGATATTTTTTTTTTATCTGTTTTTACTGGAGCTTCGAGTGGTAGGAAAAAGAAATGCTGCATATTGATGTAACACTAGTATGGAAGACAACAAAACACCAATAGTCATGCGTTTGGCTGTATGACTTGTGATCTTTGGCACATTAAAAAGGGGAATGTGTTTCACACAGATTGTTCAGCAGGAAACCGGCTCAAGGAAAACATAGCTGAGATGCTTGGATCCAAACTGTGATGGACCTCAGAATAACAACACTGCTCTGAAGCGCCAACACAGAAACTCAGCACTAAATGTGCTGCTCAGAGAGGTTATATATATATATATATATATATATATATATTTTTTTTTTATGACAAAGAAAGACTTTAGCTTAGAGACTTTCTTTAAACTGTTGTATATTGAGAGAGAGCATGGCATATTCTCTGGTTATTATAAGAACAGTTTAGATACATGTAGGGCATCGTGAATGCATCTAAAATGACTCGCCGTTTATGCAGAACAGATGATTCTGCAGCTCACCCTGTTTCCTTTGCTCAAACAATATTCCCTGTGGTTATATAAGGACTTATCTGCAGAATGCTGATCCCATGTGCTTTCAAATCTCCAACGTGAATTATGCACATTACCATAATCATCTTGACACAAATACTGCCAGATGACAAACCAGCTGACAGGAAGTCTACATCCAAAGCACTTGTAAAGACTCCAGTAAATAAGCTCTCTCCACAGAAGCTAAATCCAATATCTTCTGCTATTTTTACCAATGTTTTATACCAATGTCTAGCTAAGAGTGAAAGATTTCTGTAGGAGGAGCACTTCAATTTAATTTACATTAATTCTATGCCAGGCAAAAAGTAATTTAATGTCTTAATAAGCTAAGCTAATACTTAATATGTGTGTGATATTTTCTAAAGTCTTGAAAACAACCATTTTCAAAAATTACATCCCCCTGTGTGAATGATTTTTGTTTACTGGGACAAGCTGAGAACACTCCTCTCCTTTTCTTCTGAAACTTGATCTTACTACCACATCTGCATCTCCATGTCTTCATTTTTCCAGTCCTGCTCTTAGATATTATAAAAATCAATTTATGTGCCTTGCGAAAGTATATTTAACTCTAGTTTTGCACATTTTGTCACATTGTAACCACACTCTCTGTTGTATTTCATGGAATAGGCTAATGATAAGTAATGAATCATTGTGAAGTGGAAGGACAACAATTCACCTAACAAAATTGTGAGTGATTTTGTTATATTTAAATCAATATTTGTTAATGTGCTTATTTTGCATTTTATTGTGGCCTGTAACGTTTCTTTGTTAAATATATGTATTTTTTTCACAATACAACCGTTTTTTTGAACATTCCTTGTTCATAACTCAATTATTTAAAAACAAAAGTCTATTTAAAAGCAATTTCAGCAAATTACATAAAAAATGTAAGTTTAAATTAACAGCAATGTAATAGAAAACATTTTGAGCAGACGTTTATGCTACAGACCTTTAACTTTGTGGATAAGCCATTTGTTTTGGACTTTAGGAAGCAGCGAAGCCAGACTGACTGAACCATGTTGACATATTGACTGTCTGACGCCACTGCTGTCCTCCATCAACCTCCGTTTCGTTTCCCCTGACCCATTTTTAATGTCAGCGTTGTTGGACTGTTGAATTCATCTCACTTTCTCTTCATACGTTGAACCGTCAGCTAAGAATACATTTGAGGCCACTGAGGCTTCTTGTGACTCAGAGGCAAGTGAGTTTCACAATTTCTAGCAAAGACCTTCCACCCATGGCTTCCTGAAGCTAGACCGGAAACACACACTTCCTGTAGTAAAGCTGGCATCCTCTGCTTGACTCCCACTCATGTCATTATCCCCCCAAACATATTGGATTCGATGCAGGGTTTTCTCCTGCTTTGATTGCAAATTGTTACGCTGGACACGCTTCAGTGCTGCTTCTCTGCTCTGAAGTATTTCGCGGCTGATCTCGGAAAGATGTCGCAGGTGAATCGAGGGCTGCCAATAGCTGCTGCTCTGACCTCGATGCTTATCTCCCCCTGCCGTGTGTGTAAATAATCCAGTCATGGGGGCGGCACTAATGACCAGTCAAATATATCTGAACAGAGCGGGAAGACTGCGACACATTTTTTCCATTTATCTGTCAAAAGCAACCACAACACTAACAAGAACTAAAACGACCACTTAACACATCTCATGAAGTTACACAATGTCTATTCATTTACCCACAAGAGCATTCTTTTCAAAATAAAATGGGATACTTAAACAATTCATTGTATTCTAAGAGCATAGAATGAATCACTGGTATTTGCGGTGGACAGGGATAATAGTCATTCGCAAATAGATAAAATACTTAATACCCACTCTAAAAACTTATGATTGCTTATTTTACTATTTCAAACATCAGCTATATCTTGATATGTATTAATACACACAGTAAAAACCGTCTTAGCCCTAACGCCACAGTCTCCTTTATATCAAACAGAGTTGGTCTTTAGAGCTACAGCCAATCAGCACCAAGGAAAATAAACGTTGCTTCTTGATTGACTGCTTTGAAAATGCTATCAATAGCGTGTGGAGCATGTGGTATTTCAGTTTCCCAAGCTGCATTTTCCTTCAGATATTTTACACAAAGGATTCTGCAAAGTGGTGAAATATTCACAAATAATTTGGGGGTTAAAATCCATCAATGGGATAAAACCTCAAGTACTGAACAAGGCTGCATATTGTGCAATGTTTTATTCAGCCTATACGGACGATGACCAATGACAGTAGGGATGCAAGTTATTGATTGAATTGGTCTAAAATTAACACTAAATTATTAAGTGGCCCTCTACTTAAAAACCTGAGTTTTCTCCAGTCTCAAAAAGGGCGACCATGTTTCCATAACATAAAGGGCTACATTTTTCATAATATGCTGAGTTTACAAAAAAGCACATCATGGTATTTTAACATTTTTTTTGTGTCAACTGTAAATAAGACTGACTGAATAAACAGAACATTGTGGTTTCCGCACATTATGAAACAAAACAGGAATTTAGTTTATATTTAGAATAAACTGTAAAACCATGATGTGCAACACGGGATGAGGTAAACAGGAAAAGGGTTGAATAACCTTGTGATACCTATTAATAAGAGCAACATTTAAGTGGTTAAGAGTCTCCTTTGTTTACTATCATAAGCACAATCTCTCTGCGTCTCCGTCCCTTGGGTTTTAAGAATGTATGTTAGAGGCTAATGTACCGCAGTGACGTCTTCCCTCTCGCTCTAATCCAGATCGGATCTACCTTGACCAGACAGCATTGTTAGGAAAGCTGGACCCAGCCACCGACACAGGGTCAGCTCTGCATTAACCCGGATTAAAGTCCAAGGAAGCCGCCGAGGTGAAGCAGTAATCGTTAAGGAAAGATGGCAGTGTGGTAATGATAGTTAACTGACTGATGACCTCAACACGACCACATGACCAAGAGTCATTGTTTAGCTTTCCGGGATGCAGCTCAGAGGTCACAATCACATGATGGGTTGCAAGATCGAGCATTTTCCAGGTCAGTGGGTCTGAGGTCTGCATAAAGGAAAAGTCCTGTTGTACATGTTGCTTTGACTAGGAATTTAGTGTGACTCATCGAGGTTCATTAGCTGGACTGGAGTCATCCTGATAGTGGAGTTTGTGTAAGGTTTAAATAATCATTGTACATGAACCCTGATATAAACTGTGCATCTCGTCTACTTTTTAGAGGATAGTATTAAGCTCAGTATGAGTTTGGGTAAATAATCTCCATGCATCATAAACCCTTTAATAATTTAGATTTTCAAAGTTTATAAACACATTGTTTGTCTGCTGAGATGCTGAATTGGATCAGATATTCTGGAACTGGGTTGCATTGCAGACTTTGAAGGCAACAATAGTTAAGAACATACAGCGGCATGGAAAAGCAAAACATATTAAAGCTCATGGAAATCCTGCACAATTGCCTATTTTAAAGAAAATTACTTAAAGTAATGCAAAAAAGGTCTTGGATAAACCTTATTTCTTTGTATAGAAAATGATATTTTTGGTTGATAACCCTTTTCTCTTAGGTCCTGTCAAGTTGCTGAATTTGTTTTGTATTTTTTGAAGGCAAGGCTTTAAGACAATGTTTATAAACTTGTTATATTTTAGGCTTCTGTTTTTCCCCACTTCCCTCATTTTTTTTTTTTTTGCATATACTGCACAATATTCTGTCAATAAAAATTTAACAGAGCTCAAAATAACTACAATTCCCACATTGTCTATGCTTATGGTAAAAAAAACCTAAACTGTGAACAAATCCTCCATATTTATACAACAACGATGCAAAGAAAAGACAGAAATAATAAAGAAAGGCTGAAGAAAAACTTTTTTCAACGTTTAAAAAAATTGTAAAAAGGCATCAGCGAGGCAGGAGATTTCTGGTAAAGAAACATTTAAAGAAAGCTGTAGATTAATGTTTGTGAAAGGTATTTCAGAATTAGAAATGTAAAAAGAAGAAAACTGCACAGAAAATTCATAAAAAGCAACAAAAACAATCAAACTTCAGAAAGGCTGCAGAACTACTGATCAAGATCACTTAAAAAAATTGTAAAGAATCTCAAAAATGGGTTAAAAAAAAACATGAGATATTGTTCAGTAAGGACATATGAATGAAACAGTTTTGCCTATTTTTGTGATTGAATCCCCTAATTTTTTAAAACTTAGTAGTCAGAGCAATAAGTTCTACAAGTCATGAAAAGAGTATCCTGCTTTGCTTTATGTGTACTCTTCGTTTGAAGACACAAAACTTCGCCGCCGTGTTGTCCGACGGCGTGAACCTTTCGGGCAACATGACTGTCACAGCTAAGTTGGCTTTGTGCTTTGAAATGAAGCACAACTCCAATGTTTAGGATTTAACTGGTTGAAACAGAGCGGGTGGAAAACAATGGGATGGATCAAAAACATTTCTCAACTTTGTTTTTAAGAGTCATGCCGTGCCAGGACACCAGAGGAGCAGGCAGGAGGTAAATCTATTGTGAACTTACAGTGCCTTGCAAAGGTCTTCCCACCCCTTGATGCAACTGACCATCACGAAGTGCATGATTGTGAAGTGGAAGGAAAAGCTGTGTGGAACTGTCCTTTTACCCCATTTATAGTGCCACACCCAGATGTTTTTACCCAAGGAACACGGAATTGATAAGCAAAACCCAAAACCAAAAAAAAAATCCCAGACACAAAACATTTTCTCAAGTGTTTTGCTGCCTTAGTTATTTTCGCAACTTCCCATTAACTCTGAGCAGTTCTTCTTGTTCCTGAAGAGGAAGAACATTCCCAAAAGCATGATACTAAGCATGATTCACATTGCATCTTCATGTTTGTTTGTTTGTTTGTTTTTTTTTTGTTACATTTTGGTCTTTTCTTAGCAGAGCACTTCGTTCAACTTTTCATGCTCCTTATCTTACGAATAGTTGACCTAGCTCCAAGTCGAGTTTGTTCACGGTATAGTTCCTAGTTTCAGGTGATAGTTTGGAAAAAAGCTCTGTAAAATGGAAAAATCTCAAGTTGTTTTATAGTCTAATCCTTCTTTAAGCTTTTCCAGAACGTCTCCGAGTTGCCCACTGTGTCCCTTTGTCTTCATCATGCTGCTTGCTCACTAATTTTCACAAAAAAAACAAAAATTACTAAAGCCTTCAAAACAAAACATTGTATTTATTCTGGGATTAAATTATATGCAAGCTGACTCTACAAAGAGACTTCAGAGAGGAGTTGGTGGCATGGTGGCACCGTATTTTATTTCTTGCAGAATAAAGGAGTTGAATACAAAATGTGCAGAACACTTTTCAGATTTTTCTGTGCAAAACTTATTAAAAAGCCATTTTCCTTTCACTTCACAATTAGGAGTTACTGTGTTATAGTCTCTTACAGGGGTCTGAAACTCCAGCGCTCGAGTGCCAGTTTCCTGCAACTTCCTGAAGTGTCCCTGCTTCAACACACCTGAATCGCATGATTAGTTAATGACCAGGCCTTGGCCTTTGACTGGAGTTTCAGACATCTGGTTTGTTACATAAAGGCCCAATAAAGTACATTGGAGTTTGTGGTTGTAATGTGATTTAGGGAAAAAAAAAAAAAAAAAAAAAAAAGGGCATCAACACATTAGTGTAAGTTCAAGATATCCACTGATTTCTCTGTGAATCCCCATAAATAAAAAAATAAAAAGTAAATTCAAAGGGATTAAAACAGTTTATAGATGTGTTCACACACACACACACACACCAAGGAGAGGCTGGAACATCCTTGTGTGGGTTTGCTCTGTTGTGGACCATCTTTTGAGGACAGGGAAACAAAATGTACGGCAGCACCATCATCAGTTACTTACTTGGAAGTGATTCTCTTTGTTTGACTGTCGGGAGTCCCCTTTATTACAGGACATCTATCAACAAGAGAAAAAGGAAAGAACTATCCATGAATAAAGGCGAAGCCAACCATGCAGCATCATCAGCTAAAAACCCTGACCACCCCTACAGTACGAACAGTACAGTATGAGTTCAAACACACACCAAGTCTTTAAGACATTAAAACAGCTCATCTTCCTTTTCGCTATCCTTGTACACGTCTGGGCTGACGTGACACTGACACGTCAGCCCAGAGAGAGAAACGAGTGCCAAATGTTTACTGTCAACAATTTAACTTTCTTCTAGTCCAGCGTTGCATGTCTTCACTGCTGAGAAACCCAGTCTCCAGTGCAGTCAAAGCTGGTTTAATCATTAGTGGCCGGGCACTTAAACATGGACGTCTGTCTTCTTTAATCATATTAGCTTTTTGATTAGATGCCGCTAATTCCTGCTGTGAGACAGTGGAGAAGGCTGCGGTTACCTTGGTGAAGGACGCAGTGGTTCAGCTCGTTCAGACATCCCGAGCAATAAACACTGTTTACACACCCATTAGTAATTACGCAGATGCAAGTTAATAACTTAATGCAGCTCTCATTAAGTCAGCGGTTAATGTGAGCTGGGGTATAACTTGCCTTAAAAGGCAGCCGACATCTTTGTCTTTTTTTTTTTCTTTTATTGCAAACAGCGTTTCTTTTTGTTTGTTTGTTTTTTTCTCTACAAATCAGAAAAACGCCAGCAGGTCACTAGTCAATGTTGTCCTGACGTCTCAAAGTCCTTCAGCCTTTATCGTTCATCCTATGAAATCATTGCGACCAACTGGAGTTTATCTCTGCAGGAGTTTTCTCACCAGCATCCGTGCTACAAGACGAGTGAGGCATTATGAATCCGTGGACTCAGCATGTAACGGTGTCGGGCGAGAATACAGACGTGGGAAAAAGTTTCCATTACTGTCAATACAATCACCGGGTAAACTAAGTGAACCCTGTTTGCTCTCAGAGGAGCAAAGAGGTGATGCTGACTAACTGGACTGAATGACAAGAGTGACCGCTCCGTAAAAACAGGAGTTTTATCAGTTTGAAATCCATCAGCCGACAGTTGCTTGCAGTTTCAATGTATGCATTATTACAGCTGCAATGAACTGCAATATTTGACTTTGCTATGATATTTCAGGTAACATTATATTAAAACTCTGTTTACTAATAACTAATGTAGCTTAGTGGATGAACTTTCACTCTCATATCTGATCTAGATCTTAGTGACTGAGAGGTTACAGCTTATAGAGGGTGATGATGATTTTAAAAAGCATCGTTGGAATACTAGATATTGCAATTTAATTTTTTTTTTTTGCCAATATTGGGCAGCCCTATTGAAAACCATTTAAGATGGTGGCCAATCTTCCTTTAAGTGAATATACAAGCAAATGCCACCCTTCGCACCTCAAGGCCACGCTGTGCAAAGCTCAGAAAAATTGCAAACGATTTTTGCAGGCTTTCCAGGCCTCAGTTAGCAAGTTAAATGTTAAAGTTAATAAAACAAGTATGGCTTGTTTGGACAAAAGCTTTAGCACTCAAGTTAGCAAAGTTTGCCTTGGGATCAATGTCTCTGAGACAGACGAGACATGTTGGAGATACTTCACGGCACCATCTTTGGAGAAAAGGAAATGAAATCTAACTGTCCTAAAACAACTCATGCTAACTCTCATGCTCGGAGGAGGAGAGATGATTATTTGGGCTTGAGTTGGAGTCACAGGAGCAGGGCAGCTTGCAGGAGGTGTCCTAACAATGAGCTCCTCTATTAGTCAAATTATTGTAGAGGGAAGCCTGAGATAATCTGTCGGAGAGCAAAAGCTTTAACCAGGGAAGCAGACTGGTTCAATTGATTGCAGTGAAAAATTGCCCCACCTGGATTTTGTGTTGGCCTTTCATTTTTCACATGACTGTATTCATACTCTGTGAATACAGACCACTCTTTTTAAGTAACGAGTAATCTAACGCGTTGCTATTTCAAATCCAGTAGTCAGACTACAGTTACTTATCGAAATCACTTTGCGTGACCATTTTCTTTTGTAATTTAATTTTATTTCCTCTCCCTGTCCATCATTTCCTGGATCATCCGTCCCGCTGTGTCTTTGTTCGTGTCAAATTAATATATTACCTCTGAATTTCGTCGAGCTTCTCGTTGCGCTCCAGAGAACTGCAAACACCGAGACCAATATGAAAGGCGCAATGAACGTGTCCGTAAACTTGTGCAACTAAACGCCATTATAATTATTAATATTAACATAAGTGTCACAAATGTGTGCAGCGGGACATCCGAGTTGTGGAGCAGCAGAAGTAGCGCTGCGCTCTGACAGCAAACACAGGGCCGTATACCCAGAACCTCGAGGCTGGGGGGGGGGGAGTGTGGGAGAGTGAGGGTCTAAAATCCTATTTATAGTTTTCCAGAATATACTGGAACACACAAAAACACGCAAAAATTACTAAAGTTTTTTTTGTACTGTTGTAACCATTAAACAATCTCCCCTTCAGTTCAACCTTATAAGTGGAGACACATTGTTGATGTTACCATTATAAAATAACTTGCAATTAAGTATTGGCAGAGATCAATGTAATTTGTTGTTAGCAGCTGCTGAAAGTAACTAAAAAAAAGTTACTTTTAATGTAACTTTGTTACTTTCCAACTCAAGTAATCAGTAATCTAACTAAGTTACTTTTTCAAGGAGTAATCAGTAATCCGATTAAAGTTACCTTTTCAAAGTAACTATGCCATCACTGTTCATACTTCATAGCTTTATTTTTCCAGTGACTGTAAATCGCACAAGGTGTGATGCATTTGGAAGCCAGATCGTTCTCTCTTTAGCTGAGGGATCTGCTGACGTGCAGGCATTGCCAAGACCTCCACTCTGTCCCCTACTTACAAAAATTAAGCTGACATCTTCAAAAGTAGAAATCACAAGGCAGGGATTTAGAGCGCGGGGGGGCGGGGGAAGATATACAGCTTGCAGCTTTTTTGTTTTCTCTCCACTCTATGTCTTCCTGGCGCTGTGCTACATGAGTGTGTGTTACATCTTTATATTAGGCTGAGATTTCAGAGATCTCATACTGTACCGTGTTTTTTGGTGGGTTCACCTGGGAACAAGAGTGCCCAAGGCACGCTCCTTTGGGAAGCCTACGGCAAAGAACACATGCATGTACAGCCATGGGGGTACATCACTATGTACAACAATGGCTAACGCGCGCACGCACACACGCACACACACGTGAAGGCATAACTACTACACATGTATGCATACTCTAACACAGGCATATGAACTACAGGCGCACACACAACAGCAACCTTTGATGGTGGTACTGACACATCACACTGACCCCTGTTACATGAGTCATCTCTGAGATAACGGCAAACAGTTTGACGGTTTTACTTCAAAGAGGATTTAGGTATGTATTCTACATTTCGGTTCTTAGTTGTGTGTAGAAAATAAAACAAAACAAAAACTAAACACACTGACAGGGAACTACTTTCTTAGTTTTACATCCTGATGAGTCTGACCTACTTTTTGGCTTATGGTTGATAGACTGAAACAACTCCCACCTGCAGGATGGCCCCATAGAGGCGCAGCAGGATGCTCCTCGGCTCGTCCCCGACCGAGCCTAGGGAGTCGGGGAGGCTGCACAGAAAGAGCTTGTTGCTCAGACCACCTCTGGAGAGAAAAAAACAAAAAAAACAGACATGCAATGAGTGTGACAGTGCTTCATAGTGATCAATGTCCATGTTTTCTTCAGGTTCTGATGAAGCTCCTGCTTATGTTTAATGTGACCAGTTCAAACAGTATTAGCTTCTGAGCTGCAGCAGATCTATTTATAATATCCAGAACAGAAACCCACACATTTCCTGTGTGAGACGGAAGGAGAGCAGCAACTTGTTTTATCAGGATGTAGTGAAGACAGAAGTCTAGAGAAGACAGAAGTCTGCGCTGGCACTACTTCAACTTAAGTATAAATTTGCAACTCTAGCTCAGCAAGTCAAGACCTGTTTGAAGCTGTAGACAAAACAGAGAGGAACATCTTTATCGATGTCCCCCCAAAAATAGCTCAAGATAGACGTCTGAAACTTCCAAAAGGAGCATAAATATTGAATTTGGACCCTAACTAAAGAAAAATAACTAAATTACTCCTGTTTCTCTCTAAATGTCTGTTTGGAGTAAATATCTGTCTCCAAGTCTGCAAATGTGGCCTAATATGGCTTCAAATTAAAGATTTAGATAACATTTCTAAAAAAAAAAAAAAAAAAAAAAAACAGTATTAGGTTGCTGTGAGTGAAATTCTTGTGAATAAACAGTAAAAAGGAGACCACTGATCAAGAACCAAGTGCCTTAAGTATATGTAGCGCTTCATCTTCTGGTAAAAATAAAGATGATCAGTTTTATTCAATTAGGAATCCTTAAGTCAACATCTGAATCAGTTTAACAGGAAACTGCCAGAAATGTTCATTTCGTATTGCTTTTAGATTTAAATCAAACATTTAAGCTTAATTTTTTGCAGAATTTATAGCTACCCGTTTCCATCCAAACTTTGCCATTCAACCCTTCTTAGAATAAATTGAAAAACTCATCTCTCAATAGCAACATCTAAAAGCACATTTGAGGTTAAATAAGGATTGCTGAATGACTAGTTTTACTGAATTAAACACCTGAAATTTACAATTTACAGCAGCATAACCTTTCCAAAAAAAAAAAAAAAAAATTACCTAAACGTCACATCCGGAACTTTCAAATGGGGGATTTTTTTTGGATTTACTTTGAAATTAAAAAGGTTTGTGGGG